TCTTTGTTTGGAGCAAAACCTCTTTCGGAAGGTAAGCATACTATTTCATAGCATACTATATTTGGAGCAAAATCAGAAGTTTTCCGGACAGGTAAGCATACTATATTATGAATCATCGAGAACATTAATCAGGTAGTGGTTACCTGCAAAAAAACCCAAGCTTGAATTTTTTTTAGTTTTTTTTTTCAAAAACGACTTCCAATTACCTTTTTCAAGCTAATTTTTTAACATTGAAACCTATTCAAAGCATCCTAACAAAGCTGTTCAAATAAAATGGAAGCTCTGTCATTTTCTATGCATGCTGGTGAGTTTCTTTGCTAAAAATGGCTCCTGACAGTGAGTGCACACAACCGCACCTGCACCTCACCACTGACTTGCACCGCTTTGCAGGCCTGTAGCTCGGCCGACGTCATTCTACGAGCCTGCGCATAGGCTCATTCGAAAGAGCGTGACTTCCTCGTCATGCTGGTCTGCAAATAAGTTGGTTTGAGAAATCCGGGAGATTTGACGGACGGGGTGAGAAAGCGTAGCTTTAGTTGTAGGCTAAGGATCTTTCAGCTAAAGTTGAGCAAAGCTCCTTTCGCCACCAGTTCCATCCTGGAAGTTCAAAACTGTTAATTTTCTTGTGATAGATCTGTTTCGGAGCTCTAAGACTGTTTTGATGTTGATACGAGCCTTCACTTCATTCACCTCTAAGGCTGCGCTTTTCCACCCCATTCGCCATATCTCCGGGGTTTCTCAAATCAAATCATTTGCACACCTTCTTGTCGAAGAAGTCACGGTCTTTCGAATGAGCCTATGCGTAGGCTCGTAGAGTGACTGCCGGCCGAGCTACAGGCCTGCAAAGCCGTGCAAGTCGGTGGCGAGGTGCAGATGAGGTCACGTGCACGCATTGTCAGGAGCCATTTTCAGCACTCACTAGCACACGTGCGATGCATAGAGAATGGCAAACGAGAATGGCAAAAAGCATCTATTTTATCTGAACAGCCTTGTTGGAATGTTTTGCATAGGTTTCCAAGTAAAGAAATTTGGTTTAAAAAAGGTAATTAGGAGTTATTTTTCGAAAAAAAGCAAAATAAAATTTAAGCTCGGGTTGAAGTAACCGCTACTGATTATTGTCCCTATTAGCTCTATAATAAAGTATGCTCATCTGTCAGGAGAACTTCTGTTTTTGCTCAAACGAAGACCTCAAGGAAAATTTTCGCGTTCGAAGAATTATTGTCCGCGACACTATGACGCGGCCATTTCCGGACTTTTGTTAGAAAATTTTTTTAAAATTTTCATACATACATACTTCCTAGAAAGCGCAATGTGTGGGTTGTAGCTCTTGAAAAGCTCTATCATCTCATGTAACCCAATCTTCCATCTTTGTTTTCCATCCGAAAATGAGCGATGAAAGAAGGAAGGCGGTTGTCCGCAACTTTTTCGCGGTCACTATATTATACGTATATATGTATATATTATATATACATATATATCGGTGACCAATTTTACAGTTGCGATTTGTCTTTCTCACAACTATTCTAGCCGCTAAGGCATCCGCTGTACAAGGCTTACAACTGCAGTCGGGTGCACCAGCATCTATGCTCCCGCAGGCCGCTTCTGGACTACGCACCTCTTTTGCGAACATGCTCTCTGATCACTTTCGCACAGCGAGCATGGGAAAGGCGGAGCTTCAATTGATTGAACATGCTTAGAGAGCATGTTCGTGAAAGAGGTGCAGAGTCCCGCGCGGAAGTGGAGATACTGGCGACACCAACACTGCAGTTGATAAGCTCATATACCTATTCTTTTGTCCGCTTCATTCATTTTCATTTCATTTTCATTTTCATTCATACACTAGAGGCGTTCCAAATCAAGAACAATGAAGTTTTCTGCATGGAACACAACAGTAACTAAAAACAAACTACGTCGTCCTAAGTCTAGACGACTTATCAACGAACAAATAGTGCAGTAATGATGAAGTAAGCTTGCATAACTTGTATCTGAGTTGCACACAATCTTGTGCTAGCATATAATCTATGGAGAAGTACCCATGCCCCCTCGTTTGCCAGTAAGGAACGAACTTTTTTATTATTCATGAAAGCAAACCGGAACTTTGGGAGGCGGGTATACTAACAAACCCCGCCCAACACGGTTTGCTGGGGAGGGTCTTGAGCTCCAAGGATAATAAGGATTGCAGGTTGAGCAAGCGTAGTCAGAATAGCGAGCTATATGTATATTCTTAGGTTGCCGGCCAGGCTGGGCTCGAGACTACATGGTCTACTCGAGTTAGTAGAAAAACAAATCTAGCAAAGCAGAGAAAAAAGTAGAATACGTTGAATAATGCGCTGTTTTAGATCGGAAATGCACACGCTTCGCCAAAAAGAGCATAAAGCGACTGGGAAGCGAGTTTTTTTCCATTCATTTCAAAAAGAGCTCAGTATTCCTAGACGACATAATTAGTCATTTAGCTGTGAGCGAACGATGTGGATGAAGCGAATGTGACACACAATGGATGATTACGGCGGCAATTCTTGATCTCCTTTGTTAAGAAAAACCAAAGTCAAACTCGGAAGCAATTCCCGCTACAAAAGAGTCGGTAGCGAGATAAAGAACCTTACACTTTAATATAAAGTTAGTGATGATGCGTGAGGGGTAAAAAAATAGATAGTCTAGATAGAGCATGTTTGCGAGAGGAAGATGCACTGCAAGAACGTGTCCTGCTTTGTTATAAATAGTGTAAGTAAAGCACACAAGAAAGGCTTTAAGCGCACAATTTGAAGGAGCGAATCAATCATCCGAAAAAGTTCAGGACAGGGATAGCAACAAAGAAAGTGGCAACCGGTAGCATATCCAAGCTCCTACTGTAATTACTTATTGTCAGAGTTAACAGAGTTATTTCTGAGCTAACGCGCACCTTTTAGGCCCTTCGACGTGTGTCTGAACAAGCAAAATTTGGGAAGCGGTGAAATGGCAGGATACTTCCTAAAAGATAATTCATTCCTAGTAGTAAAACATAGTACAAATCGTTTCGTACAAGAAACTACGCCATCAAACGTGTAGCTGAGCTCCGCAGTAACTCAGAGTTTGGTGCGCGCTCCACTACCGCACACTCAGCGCATCCAGAAGTCCATGTAGGTGTGGAAAGCGGGTGGAGGAACGAACATCTCAGTTAGGCACCGCCTCCGAAGATTACTGGTCCCAAAACGATGCACAACAGTAGGACGAAAGGACCAGCAGGCCGCGGAGGCGATGCCTAATTGTGGTGTTCATTCCTCTACCATGGAAAGCTCGCAGTCGCAATCTTCCCGAGCCTTTAAGAGATATTTTGCTTGTAGTGTTAGCAGGTGTAAGGGATTTAGGAGTGTTGCGTTCTGAAGTTTTGCAAAACGTTGGCCAAGGAGATTATTCAGATGCTAGTCACAAATATGATACAATTTTCGCCATGGGGTCATACAGATGGATTACGGCAGGTTCACGGTAAACAGGAGAAAATCAGGGAAGCAATGGAACCTCGGTCCGGTGGAGTTATTCGGTGCGCTTATCGCGAATATGGCATTCACTCCAAAATGCGATGACTTGGCGAGGTTGAGATGTTTCTGGTAGGTTAGCTAAAGTAACAGATTGGCCAAAGCTTGGTAAACTGGGTTTCTCGGGCGCAGATGATGAATATTTTATTTATTTTCTATCGCGTGCCATGCAACAGGATCAGTAAGGTGTATGATAAACATCGGTCCAGTGGGGGTATTTTCTGCGTAGTAATGACGATTATGCTATCCTTTTCATGAAGTGATGTCATAGTGCAATTACGGTAGGTGTACGGTAGGCGAGATGAAATCAAAGAACTAGTTAAGATTCTGTTCAGATGAATTGCTTCAGAATGACGCTCAGCGGCCTCAAACAGCAGAAATGTAATTCCATTGACCTTCCACAAGTACAATGGGATTCGTTTCCGGAAAAACGAAAAGGGGCGTGTTAGGGCCCGGCCATTGTGATCGTTTTCCTCTTGGCAATATTCAACTGTTTTCTTTAATTGTTTAAACTTTTGCCTAATCGTGACTTTGTACCTTCCCGGAAAATGCCGATCTATGCAAGGATTTTAGACACTGATGTACGTACCAGTGCGTCACCTCTGCTTCGCAGAGGTTCGCACTGGCTCTACTATCTATGTGCCTTACTCATTCTCGTAAAATTGTGGCACTGAAACTCATCTCGCTATGCCGACTACCACGAATAAAATGTAAACAACCACTCATTTAGAAAGTCTTTTCACGTGAGATCGGTGATTTCGAGTGGATGAAACTTTTTGCAGGAAGACAAACGCAAATTTGAATAGGTTTTTGGATTTGTCATGGCTTGGTAGTCGCCATAAAGGTAATGATAACCGTGAGCTACATCTCTGTGCGAAAATCTTCTCAAACGCTTGGCTAGAACCTTGGCAAGTTGACCATTTACACAACCAATTCATTTCGGCGCCGTTTTCGTTATGTAGTAAACTTTCGACCACTTTTCTGGCTAAACTCCATCGCTTGCACATTTGCTTACCAAACTCATCCACGACTCTGCAAAAAGTGGTGATACGGACCAAATTTTGCGGTACAGAAGCCAGGTGGACCCGTTTGGCGCGCAATTTTTAACGGATCCACTCGACGGATTTGCTCGCGCTTCTGTATATTGGACTTTCATGCTGCTAGCATGCGCCGTGCAAAATTTGGGCTCAGGAGGTTGGCTGGAACATGTTCTACGAATTTCGTAACGGACAGACACACAGACACACAGACACACAAAAAGACGTAAACAACCCTTAGCCCGTTATTATAAGTCATGATTATTCTTAAGGCCATAATGCGGTCTGAAAACTAACAATAAGTCGCTCTGTTTTCGACCGGTATCTAGCTTTATGCTAGCTTCTATGAGGCATAAAACTAGAGATTGGATTTTATTTTCGCCAAGTAAAGAGCCGCCTTTCCGTGTAGCAAATCCAAGTCACTTGTCTCAAGAATGGAACAAAGTCTCACCTTGTTTAGTGGAGATCGGCCAATATACTGAATGAAAAAGTCAATCATGTGAGACAAATCTGTGTCAATTTCCACTGAGCAGGAACTGTCGCTATCCTCCTCTTGCTTGGCCTAAATTCTTAGCAGTTCATATCGAGCGGATGTGAGCTATAACTGATGTTTGCACCTTTGATGTACTAGTCTCGAATGAGGAGCTGCCAACATCTGGTGAAAATTTTCTCTTCTTTAGCATCTGCACTAACGATTCAAATGGATTTGAATGTGGACTGAAATTTGTCATGGGAATTATGTCAATTCAGCCGTTGCGAACTTAGAACTGTTGCAGGGAGTTTATTTTTAAAAGCTACAAAAGATCACAACTTACCTGCACGAACAACTTGCGCTGTTAAGATCAGTTTATTTGAGTTGAAAATTTTTGCTACGTAAACGCCATGAAGGTGCAGAGCACCAGCTACAACCATCCTTGCTCATATTGTTTTCGTTGTCAAAAGAATGATGGCGCCTTTTTATTTGCTGCCCAGCAACGATACGCATGCATAGGGAGTACTATTGAACCCAAGCAAGCTTCACAGGCTGGCGTTCACGCTTTCGCGTTAAGTTTGCGCGTAGCGTTTAAAACCAAGATCTAAAAACAACAACCAAAAAATCGAAAAAATCTTCGTCCAAGGACTTCCTACAAGTCACTCGCTCGCACACATCAATATTATCAACATCAAACTTGATATTACATTGTAAACAAAATTTGTCGCACTCTTTTTAGAAGATTTGTAGCTCCTTGATTTCTCAATGGATTCGCGTGCATTTGATTAAGACATTTTTCTCGGAAAACGTAACGTTTTAAGAAATTTTAGAGTAGCCGCTCAAATTTTCATTCATGCTTGGTCATAAAATCTAAACCTGCAGTAAAAAAATGGAGCTGTCGGCGATATAGGCTTCTTAGCCTAATTATGCTGTGTAAGCAACGTCTCTGCTGATCAGATGAACTATGAAAAGTAACGATTTCCGCGAAAAATGGCTTGAAAACTCAAATTCGGATTCTCGTACCGTTTGCTCAATTAGAACAACTTTTTACAGAAACGTTCAATCAGCACAAAGTTGCTTACTTGAAAGAAGCAGATCAAGAAACCTATAACACTGACTGCTCTGATTGGCAAGTTTCAAATCTATTCTGATCAAACAGGAATTAAAAATCTGAGTGAATCCTTTTCCAATGCTTCTATCTGCGGAACATTTCCGCTAGAGGATGTAAGCACATACAGTTATAGAAGGCGTAATTTTTTTAAAATAAACTTGCAAGCATGCAAATTCGTTGACAAAACAAGAAATTAAGAATTCGGGTGAGGGAACTTAGGAACCCGAGCCTAATTAGCTCGATTTGGGGAGTGCCTGCAGGTTACAGTCATGCTCGCTGTCTCTGATTACTCACTAGGACATTGCAACAGTCTAAGCCCCGCCCCCACAAGAGCCTGTTTGGAACCCAGCCAAGGAATGCTGAAGATCTCAATTGAATTTCAGGGCTAGCTCTAAGCCAAAAACCTTCAAAGTGATCGTACGAAGGTGAAATCAGGCTCAAACGGAAGAGAAAAACCGTGCCATCATCATAAAGTATCTACTGATTCAAACTGATTGAACACAACATTTTCTTGGTTCAAATTGCTGAGGAATTATTCAAAAAACCGTCAAGTTTTCAAAAAAAATTATTTGAGTGCTGAATCCTAGCAAAAGACAAGAATATCATTCGAGAAATGACAGTTCAAAAACTTCCCAAGATTGATATTTATTCAAATGCTGAAATTTAGGCGAAAGACTAGAAAATCAATCGCGAAACGACAGTTTACAAAATTCTCAAAAATAAAAGTTTGTTTGTGTGCGGAAGTCTGGGCAAAAGATTAGAATATCAAGAAATGGCAGTTCAAAAACTTCACTAATGATATTGCTGAGTCTGTCAACGGCAGACGATTCTGATGTGCGAAGAACATCCTGCTAAGATGCTGGAAGCAATGACCTCAACCTATGCAAGGAAGGGTTGCAATAACAGTTTGAGGCGAAATTTTCCTTATAAATAGTAGCATAAAGGGTGAAAACCATTTATCAGCAATTCAGCACTCAAAAACACTATTATTTGTGAGAAGTTCTTGATTCGTCATTTCTTGATATTCTAATCTTCTGCCCAGACTCCCGCACACAAACAAACTTTTATTTTTGAGAATTTTATGACTTGTCGTTTCGCAATTGATTTTCTAGTCTTTCGCTTAAATTTCAGCATTTCAATAAATATCAATCTTGGGAAGTTTTTGAACTGTCATTTCTTGAATGATATTCTAGTGTTTTGCTAGGATTTAGCACTCAAATAAATTTTTTTGAAAAACTTGACGGTTTTTTAAATAATTTCTCAGTAATTTAACACTTAAATAAAGTTTTGAACCAAGAAAATGTTGTGTTCAATCAGTTTGAATCAGTAGATACTTTATGATGGTGGCACGGTTTTTCTCTTTCGTTTGAGCCTGATTTCACCTTCGTACGATCACTTTGAAGGTTTTTGGCTTAGAGCCAGCCCTGAAATTCAATTGAGATCTTCAGCATTCCTTGGCTGGGTTCCAAACAGGCTCTCATGGGGGCGGGGCTTAGACTGTTGCAATGTCCTAGTGAGTAATCAGAGACAGCGAGCATGACTGTAACCTGCAGGCACTCCCCAAATCGAGCTAATTAGGCTCGGGTTCCTAAGCTCCGTCCCCCTAAAAATTCTTAAACAGGAACTTCCAAAACTTCTGTCCCAGGCCAATATAAAGGTGTTTGGAAAGTATATGGCCTAAAGTACTCCCAATGGATTTTGACTCGCTTTCTATTTTATTGTCTGGCCTAGATAACATATTTCAGTAAAAATCAGGTTTTTTGTGTTTTTTTTTGTTTCTTAACTTGATTGAAACGCATCAATATAGCTCTCCAAACCTCATTCCTTAAAATGGTTGCTACAAAGAAGGAAATATGATTCACAGAAAACTTGTTATACCTTTTAAACGCCCTTTCTTTAAGGTTTCTCGTATGTGCTTTTTTTTCTCAAAAGTAAGTTCGTGAAATACCGTGCCTTAAAGGACGAGAGATTCATTTTTTCAAGATTTCTCGTCAAAAAATCTAGCACCAAAATTTTTGTTTTATTTTCAAAACTTCACAAGCGTGCAAAATTTTTGGAAACGAATACAAAGAAGGTCAGAGAGTTGTGCTATACAAATACACATTGAAATAAGGCATACAAAACTTCTCAAATCAAAAACGTTTCAATGCAAACTTGTGCCGCGATTGTCTGCTGTAATTTAGCACATGAAAAAAATTCTGTTCGGAAGCTGCCGAGGAACTTTTGCTATATAAAAAAATTGCAAACTTAGGACTACTTCTAGTAAGAAACGAAAAGCTGTTTTCCTTTTCCGACATTGAAAAAAGGTAGAACATATTAGACAACTCTTCCGCCTCTTCAAGAAAGCTGAAAAAATGTTTACTTTCAAAATTTTCGGGTTATCTTTAGGCAAAGATATTTTTCTTGTTGATTCATTGTTTCTACGTTTAGCGAACACATATAGCAAAAATCGAGTTAAGATTTGCACTAGAAGTACTTGAGGCCAGAATCTTTTCAAACACCCAGAATACAAAATGCGTTAAAAGTTTTGGGAGCCAAACTCGCAGTATTGTAAATGAAAACTACTGACGATTTTGATTACAAGTCGATGTCACATAATGCCGCAATCATCCTTCACAAAATACATTATACCCAGCACAGAATGTACCATGGATCTAAATAATCTACGACCTTTATCATTGTAGATTCATCATGTAAGTTATATTCAGTATCTATTAGCCTGTTGAAAAACATTTCTGTTCACTAACCACTTGAGCCGCCAGTTTACCCCTTCACTGTGCTTGACAGTCTACTTGGCGGCGTCTACTTTCATGTAGATGTAGACGATCCTTGATTCTGTATGATACTGTTGTTTGCCAGAAATGGGCATTCAGGTTATCCACGCCCAAAACAGTGGCATAAAAGCGCCTGAATGGTCAGTTCTGGGGTTGGTTCGATATATTACCACTATCGTCAGCGGCTGCTCCGCATTATTCACTGTTGATAGTCAGCAGCTGCTCCGCTACTATCTAATGAAATAATTATAGAGCGTAGTGGTACCAGCTTAGTGTATACCAAAAAAATGGCTACCGTACGATTTTGTACACTGGATAATTAAACTAGTAAGTTTTTACAGTTTTTTGTGTAGCTAAAGATACTGACGAGGAAAGTGTGTTTAGTCGAAGTGGCCTTTCCAGATGAGACTCCTACTGCTTTGGAGAGCATTACGCGCTGATTCCAAATCTACCTTCCAAATCTGCTCAGCGCCTCTGGACGTCGAGTTATGGGTGTTTTTCAGGAAGAAAAATTAAACGCAAAACTTCAACAAAATCGCCCAAATTTGCTCAAATGGTTCAGTGTCAAGTGTCAGAGCCGTTCATGCAATGGATACATTTTGTCTAATATGCTAATACTAAACATTGCTTTATCTGAGCGCTGGAAAGATTGTAACAATCGATTTTACCTAAATTTTGCATTCATTTTTAAAAACGGTCATAACTCGGCGTCCAGAGACGCTGAGCAGATTTGGAAGGCAGATTTGGAATCATCGCTTAATGCTCTTCAAAGCAGATGGGTCTCATCTGGAAAGGCCACTTCGACCAAACACACTTCCCTTGTGAGAATACTGTACAACATTTGGATGCACACAAATTGAGGTAAGCAAGGCTTTGCGCTATTGCATCGTAGTAATTGCACTTGCTAGGAGCTATCCTTGGTAAAAAACAGATTTGCGAATACCTGGTGTGGCAAACACCATCTGTCTTTGGAACAAATTTGAAAGTAACGAGCAGCAGGCACTTAGTTCAGCGCTATATTCTTTCTATAAGTCCTCTATATAAGCATTATTTCATGGTAGACAAAATTTCAATACTTTTTAGACGACGATTTCCCGTCCTTCGCGCAACGTATACAGCATACATTTCCGGTATAAGACATGCCCTTGCAAGTCCCAATATTTTTATTCCTAGACATTGCCAAAACTTTTTAGTAATATATTTAGCCAAAAGCTTGCTTGATCTTCCTCGAAAGACGGGCGTAAAGCTACTTTGAATTCTAAGAAGTACGAGAGGAGAAGTTTTTGAACCAATGTTGCTATTATATACTGAAATCTAGGTGTAGAACAGATTCATGTAGGAATTTTGAAAAATTTATGTA